AAAAAAAAAAAAAAAAATCTACCAGGAAAGCAAAAATGAAACAAATAATTACACAACTAATTTCTTATGATTCTAAATATGCTGAGCCTACACTCAGCACAAGGCTTTTGAACTTGCCTGAAACAAACTTCCCCAATTATCCCCATAGCAGCGTCCCTCATCAAATTCAGAGCATCACTCAACTATCACCTTCTCAGTGAAACCCTCCCTGATCATTCTATATAAAAAAGGCATGCTCCCCAATCCAACTTTCCCTATCACCTACCTTGATGTACTTATTTTTCTCTAGAATTTTATCACCATCGGACCATATGTATTTGTTCAGTATCTGTATACCCACTAGAATATCAGTTCCATCAGATCAATAATTTCTGTCTATTTTGTTCACTGGTATCACTTGATGCCAGGAATATAGCAGACAATAAATACTGATGAATAAATGAATGCAATGAAGGAAAGTACAAGTATTATAAGAGTGTATAAAAGGAGAAACCATTAATTTCGTTTGCACTAATATATATACTGTTTTTTATCTATATACATGTCTTCATGTAACAATTTAAAATGTCAATTCTAAATGCTATCATTCATGTTTAAGGCATTAATTTAGGCATTTCAGTTTTTCTTATAAATTATTTTTCAACACTTAAAGCATTTAAAATAGTTACATTACTAAACAAGATTAATATTTTTATACTAAAAGAGAGTCAACCTCTAACATAGCAATTTATTCTCCATGATACAAATTATCTCACCTTAAAAAATGAAGACAAAATGAGATGTACTATTCTACCAGGATTTTAAATTACCATATTCACTGAACTATTACAAGCATCTTACTTTTTCAGAAGTTAAAAAGTAAAAAGAGAAAGAGAAAGATCTAAAATTACCTTCAAGGTTTACAGTCTGTTACCTCTGCATCATATGCTTATAGTTTCCGAAGATATTATTGAATTATGGCACTTACAGCTAAATATCTAAAAAAAAACAAAAACGAAAGAACTGTTTCAAATTTGGTCTATCAGAATCCAAAGGACTGTGTTGTCTGAAAAATAAAACTTTTGTTTTGAAAAGGAATAATACTTTTATTTCCACCTAAGCAATGTTAACCTTTTTTTTTAAATGTTAACCTTTTTAAATAATATAATCTAAAAAGTTAAACAGACCCAGAGACAGAGTTTTCAAACCAGATCACATATGTTTTGAAACTCCAATTAACTAGACTCAACATGATCTTTTGGAGGATAAAAAAAAAAGGTTACTTTAACATTTCTAATAAAATGAATTTGTTACAAGCAATCTATGTGTAGAATGGAACATTTTTTTATTAGTCCATTAATTTCTGATAAAAACATGTTGTTGAAAGAAATCAAGAAGAAAATAGTCATGTGGTAATAATTTAATATGTCCTATTATGCCATCAAAACTAAGAATATTGAATAGATAATATAATAGACTCCCCAAAAGCATGCCTTCTCTCCTCTATTAAGAAAATCAGTAGTCATAATAAACAAAGGAGAAAACCAATATCTTCAGATTAAAAATGTAGTTCAATCTACTATCTATTAATAACTACATCCAAACTGTTTTTAAATACACAAAAAAAGCTGCTGAGGAGACCTGAGGAAAGAAAGTGGAAGCCAGGCTTCTACTGCAGCTTCTGGCATACCTGTGTAGTCTAATTTTGAGCTCTCTCTTTTTGTAGTCCTAAGAGACAAGAGTTCCCATTCTGACTACTAACCCATACTTTCCTGTGGGCAAGTCTTGTATGTACTCCTCACCATGGTCCAGCTCCAGACTTGCTTCAATACTGACAAGAAATATGCAGTAGATGGTGTCCCCTCCACAATCTTAGCTGCCTCTGAAATTGCTGACATTAGTAATATCACTGATAAATTCCTGGAGGCCAAAAATGAGTTCCACAAACATGTGGAGTTTGATTTCCTTATCAAGGGCCAGTTTCTGCAAATGCCCTTGGTCAAACACATGGAACTGGAGAACATCTCATCGGAAGAAGCTGTGGAACTAGACTACATGGAGAAGTACACTGCACCCCAGCCAGAGCAATGCATGTTCCATGATGACTGGATAAGATCAATTAAAGGGGCAGAGGAATGGATCTTGAATGGTTCATAAGATAAGACTTCTCGAATCTGGTCCTTGGAAGGAAAGTCAATAATGATAATTGTGGGACACACGGACATTGTAAAAGATGTGGCCTGGGTGAAAAAAGACAAGTTTGTCTTGCTTATTACTGAGTGCCTCTATGCATCAGACTATTCTCTTATGAGAGTGGAATGTAAAAGAAACAAAGTGAAAGCTCTACACTGCTTCAGAGGTCATGCTGGAAGTGTGGATTCTATAACTGTTAATAGCTCCAGAACTAAATCTGCAGTGGCTCCTGGGATAAGATACTAAAGATCTGGTCTATAGTCCCTACAGATGAGGAAGATGAAATGGAGGAATCCACAAAGAGATCAAGAAAGAAACAGAAAACAGAGCAGTTGGGACTAACAAGGACTCCCATGGTGACCCTCTCTGGCCATAAGAAAACCATTTCCTCAGTTCTGTGTTCAGATAATGAAGAAATTTCCAGTGAATCCAGGGACCACACAATTAGAGTGTGGGATATTGAGTTTGGCAGTCTTAAGTCAATTTGACAGGAAATAAACTGTTTAACTGTATTTCCTATTCTCCACTTTGTAAACATTTGGCATCTAGAAGCACAGATAGGCGTACCAGACTGTGGGATCCCCAAACTAAAGATGGTTCTTTGGTGTCTCTGTTCCTAACCTCACATACAGACTGGGTCACATCAGTAAAGTGGTCTCCTACCCATGAACAGCAACTGATTTCAAGTTCTTTAGATAACATTGTCAAGCTGTGGGATACAAGAAGTTGTAAGGCTCCTCTCTATGATCTGGCTGCTTATGAATACAAAGTTCTGAGTGTAGACTGGACAGACACAGGGCTATTTCTGAGTGGAGAAGCAGACAATAAACTGTATTCCTATTGATATTCACCTACCACTTCCCATGTGGGAGCATGAAAGTGAATACTTTGATTATACAGATTCTTTCTATAAATGAAATGGTAGAGAACCATCAGATGTAGAAAACAGCATTTAGGTTTCTATAATGCTTTTACCCTAACATATCACTATCTTTTTTTCTTTATTTTGTATTTATAATAGTTTGTGATTATAAAATATAAAATGTGGCTGATAGTGTTTGGATGTGTTGTCCCCCCAAATTCATGTGGAAATCTGATCCCCAAGGTGGCAGTTTTGGGACCAGAGTCACAGGGATAGATCCCTCATGAATGGATTAATGCTCTCCCTGGGGAGCAGGTAGTGTGTGAGTTCCCCCTCTATAAGTTCTTGCAAGAGCAGGTTGTTTAAAAGACCTTGGCACCTCCTCCTCTCTCTCTCTCTCTCTCTCTTTTCTTCCTCTCCCATGTGATTTGCATGTACCCACTAGCTGCCTGCTGCTTTCTGCCATGAATATTAGCAGCCTGAGGCCCACATAAGATGCAGCTGTCTCAGAATAGTAAGTCAAATAAACCTCTTTCCTTCATAAACTACCCAGTCTCAGGTATTCTGTTACAGCAACACAAAATGGACTAAGCCAGTGGCCTATATTCTATATCCTATCCAAACTCTTGAAATTAAACTGAGTTTTTAATTCCTTTTTAAAGGTAAAATAAGAAATAAAAATAAATACACAAAAAGCTAAGAAATTTTCAGTTATCCGTTATTTATTATGTAGACATACTTCAAAGTATCTCAAAACAAAATTAAAATTACTGTTAAATATTCCTACTATCACACACATTTTAAAATGCTACTGTTCATTTTAAAACTATAACCTCTGAATGTTACAAGTAAATGTTAAATGTTAAAGGTAAACATTAATCATTAAAGGAATTTCCTTCTGGTTAACTATATTCTTCCAGAACGAAAATGCAGAATTCTTTAATGTACATACATTTTACATTTACAGGACTATGTTTATCAATGCAGATATTAAGTTTAAAAAAGAGTTAATTTATCCAAAAACGTTTTAAAATAACTTCTTTTTTGTTTGTTTCCTTGTTTACTTTTTTTAATTTTTTATTGAAACATATCGATTGTATATATTTATGGAGTACAGACTTATATTTCAATACATGTATACAATGTACACATGTGATGATTTATTCAGGATAATTAGCATATTTATCATTGCAAAATTCATCATTTCTTTGTGATGTACTCATTTGATCTCCTCTCTTCTAGTCTTTGGTAACATGCAGTAAATCATTCTTAATTATAGATTCCTGGGTCAACCATATACCAATAAGGCTTATTTTTCCTACCTAGCTATAATTTTGTGTCCATTAATCAGCTTCTCACCAACCCCTCTCAACCTTCCCTTCCCTGCCTCTAGTAACCAGTTTTTCTCTCTCTCTTTAACAGTCCAACTTATTATTATTTATGTTTTTTTGTTTTGTTTTGTTTTTTTACTGAAGCATAATTAATTATACATATTTAGGGGGTACAAAGTTGACTATGAATAGTTGTGTACAGTATGTGATGGTCACGTCAGGATAGTTACCTTATTCATCATTTCAATACATAATCATTTTTTGTGTCCATTAACCTATTTCTAATTAATTTCCCATTAATACCCCTTCCTCTCCACCCCCTCCCACTTCTAGTAACCGCAGTTCTGTTCTCTCCTTCTAAAAGTTCAATGTATTATTGTGACTGATGTTTCTTTCTCTTTCTTTCATTATTGTTTATTTCTTTATTAATTCAGCTCCCACTTGTGAGTGAGGACATGTGGTTATTTTTCTTTCGCTGACTGGGATGTTTCACTCAACATAATTTTCTCCAGGTTCATCCATGTTGCTGCAAATGGCAGAATTTGACTCTTTTTTAATGGTTGAGTAGTATTCCATTGTGTATATATACCACTTTTTCCTTATCCAGTCATCTGTCGATGGAAATTTAGGTTGATTGCATAAATTGGCTATTGTGAGTAGACATGCGATGAACACGGGAATGCAGGTATCCCTTCAGCATGATGATTTCCATTCCTCTGGGTATATACACAGTAATGGAATATCTGGATCATATGGTAGTTCTATCTGTAGTTGTTTAAGGAAACTCTGTACCATTTTCCATAATGGCTATACTAATTTACAGTCCCACCAACAGTGCAGAAGGGTTCCCCTTTCTACACATCCTCACCAGCATTTATTATTCTTTTCTATAACAGAAAGTCTAACTGGGGTAAGATGATACTTCAAAGTGGTTTTAACTTGCTTTCCCTGATAATTAGTGGTGCTGAGTGTTTTTTCATGTACATATTGCCCATTTGTATGTCCTCCTTTGAGAGATGTCTATTCAGTTCCTTTACACGTTTTTTAATCACGTTATTTGGTGTTTTTTTTACTGTTGTTTGAGTTCCTGTATATTTTAGATATTAATCCCTTGTCAGATTTATAGTTTGCAAATATTTTCCCCCATTCTGTAGGTTGTCTTTTCACTTTGTTGACTGTTACCTTTGCTGTGTAGAAGTTTTTTTTTTATTATTATTATTATTTTTATTTTGTCAATATACAATGTAGTTGATTATTATG